GACACAAAAGCAAGAAAAGAGAAAAACTCAGACTCCAAAAGGAAGGGGCAGTAATGAAGGTCACTTAAGACAGGGCAATAACTTGCAAAGCAAATGATAATGTTTCCAGGTTTTCACCAATGTAATCCCTTTGTCTTGTTCTCTGGAGAGACATGCTGGAGAAGCAATTCAAATTTCATCCCTACCTCAACTGCCCACCACCAAAATGATTTATTTCATTTTTCTACAAAGTATAATTGAACAAACGAATAATGTTTAACATATTTTCATTTTTATATTGAGATTAACTAATGGAGGTGACAGTAGAAATAAACAAGGAAAGGAAAACAGAGAAATACAAAGGAAGGCATCAAAAAATAACAACAACTTAAGACAGACACAGAGAAAAATAAACCAAACTACAGAAATACAAAGAAAAAGAGAAATGAAAAGAGATTGTGTATTTACTCTAATAGACAGATGCAGAGAGGGAGATTTCCAAGTCAAGACAATTCAAAGAGGTCATGGTTGAATGAGACTCCTCCCACCCCTGCTTTACTCACACCAAATGGGAGAAAATATATAAAAGGATAAAACCCCAAAAGACAGCAAACGAGAGGTCATCTCCAATATAAGAAATGGAGCAGAAAGGCAGGGCAGTGACAGGTGCTGATGTTGAGGCAGGTGGTGCCAGCCAGAGTGTGGCTGCTGTGGGGAATGGGGCCATGCTAGGGTGCTAGATGCTGGCTGACTGCTTGGAGCCAGCGATGGAGAGCATTCTTCCCAGCTCATGAAAAAAAAAGAGCAATAAAAATTGCTGCCAGACTTAGCAATAAAAATTGCTTCTGCTTAGGATACAAAAAATTGCAGGCAAACATTATTCCCACCTTAACAACAAGAACCAGCTGGATAACCTCCAAAATCCTAATTTTTATAGCTCATCAGAGAGCTGATACTGCAAGGGAAACTAATGAACCCAAATCGAGGGAAGGACAGGAGAGCTGAAAGAGCTCCTGTCTGAGGTACAGTCATGCTGGGTATGCCAAAGTCTGAGTGCAAAGCAGAAAAATTGAGAGCAATCCCATGTCAATTTGGGTTCTCCAGAGAGAGAGAACCAATAGAATACACACACACACACACACACACACACACACACACACACACATGAATGCACATGTGTGTATATACAGGTAGGATATACACACACATATATACATATATAAAAAGAAATTTATTATGAGGAATTGGCTCATGTAATTAAGAGGCTGAGAAGTCCCAGGATCTGTAGTCAGTAATCTGGAGACCCAGGAGAGCAGATGATATAAATTCCAGTCGAAGTAGAACTCTGAAGGCAGAAGATTGACATTCCAGTTCAAAGTCAGTCAGACAAAAATAATTTTTTTCTTACTCAGCATTTTATCCTATTCAGGTCCTCCATGGATTAGATGAGGTTCACCCACACTGAGCCTGATTTACAATCTACTGAGCAGCAAATTTAAAGATAGTGCTAATCTTATCTGGAAGCACACTCATAGACACATCCAGAAATAATGTTTAACCAAATATCTGGGCACCCGATGGCCCAGTCAAGTAGATACATCACAACCCTGAGGGCACTCTGAGAATTAGATTGAGTGCAAGGGACAGTGATCTGCCCTGGGGAAGGGTCAAAAGATCTGAGAGAGATGATGTCCCTGAGGCACAGGTACTCAGGACCTGGGGACATCTGAGAACAGAGAGAAACCCCATGGGGAAGCCAGCCTTATATGGGGTAGCAGGCAGCAGCTGCCTGTGGCTGGGGGGAGGCAGGAGAGCAGAAAGTGATCTCCCCTATTGTTCAGGGGCACTGGGTCTGCTGACGGGTGCGGGCAGGGCAGGAGCACTAAGACAAACCCACCAGGCACTCTGATCCCAATTCCTGCTAAAGAAAAGAATTTGATCTTGCCCTCAAATAATTTGAAGTTATGTTATTGGTAAACAAAGTTAACAGCAAAGCCCATACCCGGCTCGATTCTAGCCCAGATTAGTTCAATCCTTCCTACTGGTGGCTTTAGAGAAGAAGATATGTGATCTATTCTGGGCATATATACTGTTTACTTTAGACTATACTGTTATTTTATACATCATCCCTATCATACAATAAAAATTACAAGCATGTGAAAAAGCGTGAAAACCAACCCATCTTCAAGAGAAGAAGTGGTCCAAAAAATCAGATGCAGAGATTGCCCATGGACAACATGCATGAACAACACAAAACTAACCTAACTGTACATGTAAGATCTGTGCATTTCACTGCAGGTACCTCAATAAAAATTAAAAAAAAAAAAAATGATTCCTACTGCTACTTTAGGTTGGTTTATAAGTAGCTGCTGGTCAGTGGAAGATAGAGAAGCAACCAAACCAGTAGTAACTATCTAGTAACTAAGTCAAGTTATCTCTTTCTGGGGATTGGATCATTGAGCCACAATATTATCATGACAGAAACTCCAAAACCCAGCATAAGGCAGGGTTCTGGATTGGGAACCCGGGGCTTCTTGGAGGCGTGTGCAAAACAGGGAGAAGTGAGCACTAAGGGAGAAAGACTGGAAAGGAAGACTTCCTACTCAAAATGAGCCTGCAAACCAGCGTTTACAATCACGGAAAAAATCAAATGCTAAGAAAGGCAGCTAACAACATCAACACTCAGAACATGAATTCACCCAAATATAATTAACCTTATAAAGCAGTATGGCACAGACTTTACAATAAATATTTGAGGATTCTCAATGAGAGATCTGAAGGAATTATATCCAGAATGAAATATTTTAAATGATATTTTAAAATATTGATATAAAAACAAAATCAGTAAACATGCAAAAGAATCAGTTGTAAAAGATTTATAGAGTCATTGAAATAATTTTTAGAAACACCCCAATTAACTATGTAGTCTAAATTAGACTCAAAGAACGGATTAGCGTATTATGAGATAGTACTGAGAAACTTACCCAGAACACAGCATACTGGGACAAAGACAAAGATTTTTAATGACTTTTAAAAACATGAAAGGACAGTTATATGACATGAAGGATAGATTGAGAAACTCCGCTGGGGGCCCTTATAAGGGACTAGCAGAGATACACTAGCTTAAGAAATAATAAAATGATTTTTCAAAATTGAAGAGATGCCTAAATCCTCAGATCGAAAGTACAATCTGTGTAATGAGCAAGATAATAAGAAATCTGTATCTAGACCAGAGTAATGGATCTGAGCAGCATCAAGGATTAAGATAATCCCTTAAAAGTCATCAAGTAGAAAAGAGAATTTACCTGCAAGGGAACAATTTTCTGGACAGCAGATTCCTACGATATACAGTAGATGTCAAAAGATAATGTAAATGCAGCATCTGTCATATTAGAAAATTACATTTGGCTAAATTAGTATGTGAAAGTGAGGGCAAAATAAACTTACTGTTAAAGATATACAGCATAAAATATTTTACACCTGTAGCTCTTCACTAAAGGAATTTTAAAAGATGGCTTCAGCAAGAAGAAACGTAATTTAAAATGTATTATTAATAATTTTGCTGCTCTTTTATTTATGTTGTATCCTATGTTTCTATTTCCCCAGAGAGGAAACACAGAACACAGAATAAGGAAGAAACATAAGATACAAAATAAATTACACAAAAAATTGATAAAATTTGTCAGTATATTTTAAACGTTGACTGTTTATTTTAAAGTTACCTTTTATTTACTTATTTTGTTAAAGATAAAAGTTACCTGGGTTAGTTTTCCCCTCTCTCCTTTAGTGTGGTTATGTTATTCATTTAAAACAGAAGTTCATTTGGTTTTGTTTGTATTCTTTTTTTACAATTTATTTGTTTGCTTGTTTTTAAGTCTGTATGTGAAAACTTAACATAGTTCTAAAATCCAGAGCTATTCAAAAAGGTTTACCCAAAGAATTGTCCCTCCTCTCATCTCTTCTACCCTGTTCTTATTCCTTCATCTTTCTCACTGTTTCCACCTACCCCCTGTAGGTCACCAATCTCACTGATTTCTGGTCTGCCCTTCCTGTGTTTCTTTCTCCACAAATGAGCAGATATACATGCATTTTCTTATTTCTTCTTCTTTCTTATAGAAAAAGTAGTTTCAGTGGAGGAGGCCACCTTGATCCAAATATGTTTTCAAAGCTTTAAATCTCAGAGAAAGAGGTTTGAAATCTCAATCCTTGTCTGCTCATAAATCCATTGTGGACAGATTGATTTATTTTGCAAGTTTACCTATCCTGACCTCGAGAGCATTCAAATGCATCTACCAGTGGGAATGTGGGGGAGGGAGTGACCAGGGCTCTGCCCACTTACAGAATGTAGATGTCACCTGGCACTAGATAAAATGCTACACAATGTTCCCTTCAAAATGCTGGGTTGTGGGCCTTGACTCAGTTGATGGCTATTACGGTGACCTTCCCTGAATAAACATGACTCATAGTGACCTGTTGTCTTCACTGCTTAAACCAGCTTCACGACACAGTATTCCTTTCTATGGCTGGGCTTATCATTCTATATGGTCAAGGAAAAATCCTTATGAATGGAGATTCTGTGACCATCCGTACAAGCTCTACCTCTCAGCATTGCATTAACCACAAATTTTAGGACCTCACCTTCTATGTTTTCACCTAAGTTAAAAATATAGAAAAAGTTAGAGGCGAGTGAGGACATTTTTAGTACTTCGCTGGAGACCTCTCTGAACACGGGCTGTGATCTATTAGTCAATATTCCATGGCTGCGGTTCTTCAACAAACCAGACAAGATCTCGCTATATTACTATCCTTTTATTCTTGGCCTTATCTTCCCTGAGAAGTTAAACATTTTCTAGATAGTCTAAATTAAGAACAACTCTCATCACATTCATTTTGAGGGTTCAGTTATTCAAGCAACAATCCAACTAAACAAAGGTAGATTTCCCTTTTGGGGAGTAGAAAGGGAAGCTGAGTAGATTGGTCAACAGGAATGACAGGGACATCCCATTATATTTTAACCAGTGTGTAAAGAAGACTCTTAAGCAATCAACTATTTGGGCTGTTCTCTTCAGAGTAATTTGTCGTGCAGAAAATTGCCGTTGGGATGAAGCTTTGTAGCTTTGGAGTCCTTGTAGCCATCGTTCTCTTCTGTGAGCAGCATGTCTTGGCGTTTCAGAGGTAACCCCGTAGCATCCTAGTCTGTGGTGGGCCAGTTTCTACACTTGTTTGCCTCCCAGCAAATCAAGTCAGTGCACTGGGCTGAGGAACAAAATGTGAAAGTTTGAAGGCAGGCTCTCTCAGAAACTTTCCAAGTTGCCTTGATAAACAAATGGATTTCAGTACAATAGGCTATCACTAGACATAGGGTCTTTTTCTTTTGTGGCTGTAATATTATTACTGTGAGAACCCCAGATGATGTGTATGTTCAATGGCTATGAAGATTAAAGAAATGGGATTTTTATAAAAGATTATTTATACCCCAACATGTCACATGATTTATATTTTTCCTATCTTCACATATAAAATATGTTAACTACAGATCATTTATTTTCCTCTTGTACATAGAACACAGGAAGGAGAAGAGGGTAGAGGTCTTAAAAGGGAGGTTTGGGTCATGCATGGTTATTCAGCATGAAGTATGAAAGGAAGAATGGTTGTGTTATAAAGAACACATATATGAACACATTTAATTCTTACTTCGCTTAGTAGAGTGATTCCCTTAGGATTTTCTACCATAAACTACTTAGAAGAACACAAATGAACTAATGCCATAGCATATATAACACATGGAGTGAATAGTTCCAGCATACATATAATGTTGTAGTTTACTAACTAGTCGATTTTTAGGCTTTTGATAATTGACATTGTTTCCTTTGGAATTATCTTATTCTCCCCCCACTTTTTCTTTTTCTTACTTTCCTATTTTGTTTTTTTTTGTTTGTTTGTTTGTTTGTTTTTGCTTTTATGATCCCTTTCTTCTTCAATTATCTCTGAGACAGATCCCTCTCCTTGCATTAGTGAATGACAAAGAGAGAAAGGACATGAGCAAAGGAATATACCAGGGACAGGGAAAATTCTACCAAAAAACTTTCTGGAATCATAAATAACCATAGGGCAACAGTTCAGAGACTGGATCTTGATTCACGAATCTGAAGCTACATATACTCATGATCATTGAACTAACTATAATTGGTTGATTCTTTTTTGTTCCATATGATTGTCAAGTGTCGAGCAACAAATTCGATCATCAAATAATAGTTGTGATCTAACTGACACGGGGGCGGGGGCAAAATTTCTAGAATAATTGGTGACTTAGGTCTCTATTTTATCAATAAAGCAGAGGACTGTGATTCTAAGGTTCTTGCTAGTTCAGATATTCCATAGCTTCATGATTGGCTTTAATTAAGGGAAAAGGGGAGGGATGAAGGCAGGTTGATACCAACATGTCCAACTTGGTTACTGCAACGAGTGGCAATATCATCGACACTGAGGGGAAGAGAGGAAACCTCTGGTTATTTAAGTACCTATGTTTGCCCCATGTGCTTACATTTCTAAGGGTTAGGCACTTAGAAATGTTGTCTGTTTAAATGCCTACAGTCCTACACTCTAAAAATCTTTACCAACAATTTACAGAGGAGGAACTGAAGCTCAGGAAGAGTAAATCATTTGCCTAAGGTCAAGCAATAAGTGTGGAGGTTGGATTCAAACCCAGTTTAGCCTCATTTCAACTCTTTGCACTGTGCAGCATTACCTCTAAAAAATCTAGAAATTAGGGAGAAAACCGGTATGAAGGGAGGTCAGATTTAGCCTCAGCGAGTTGGAGAAGACAGTCGGTTCAGAATATAACCTGGAAGAGAGGCCTGGACTGGAGGTCCAATCTCACGTCCTCACCTACTAGCAGCTCCAAACATGGCCCCGGCGCCAGCCCAGCACAGTCATGGTCAGCACTGACTGTCACCGAGCTTCGCCAGTGAGCAGATTCACCTGCAGGGCACCATCTTCCTCTTAGAGTGACCTAAACTCCTGGATAAGATAACCAGTAGCAAGACACACCAAAAGCTTTACCACATCTCTTCAAAACGAGTAGGTGTATAGCAGCTTCATGGGAATAAATATAATTCAAATAAAGGAAACAGACAAAAAAAAAAGTGAAAAAAATGAGTGAGAAAATTACTTCATGCATGGATTTTCTTACTATGTTTTGCTTCAGCTTATACTCTGCAATCTGATTGACACTTATGCTTGAAGAAAGGAATGAGACCATGACTACATTTTACTAAATAATATCACATTGAAAATATTTAATACATTTTGCATACTGTGAAGGTGGACAGGGGTGAGGGGGGACTTCATTGTAGCAGATGCATATCTGAATCCTGGTTCCCATCCCTTCTCTAGAAGTAACATATTCCTTTCTGTGAGTAAAAATGATTTTTTACCATGTTTCTGAGCTCTGCTTTTCCAGGAATAGCCTATTACTGAAGCTCAAAAGGAAATCTAATTTCATTCAGAGTGACAGGCTTTGATAGATTATTTCTGGGAGCAAGAATATAAATGCTTGTAAAGAGAACTAACTTTTCCTAAAGCTATTCTTTGTTATTGTTTTGGGTTTTTTTTTTTTGTCATGATCATTTTCCTAATAACAGTTTGTATTCAGGCAATCTCTTAGTGGTTGATTTGTGGGTGCATTTTGATAAATCTCATCAGTGAAATGCCCTCGAACGACGACAACAACAGCAAAAAGTTTTAAAGGCATAAATACCATATGCCAAAGAGAAAGGCAGCCAAAGAAACAGATCTCCATATGCACTTGCTTTTAAAGGCTAAACACTGTAAAGGGTAAAAATAAAGTGTTAGCAAGAATCTTGTAAACAGAGTCATTAATTGTATTGTGCAATGATCAGCTAGTTGCAGCCTATCAGCCCAGGCTATTTGGAAAGAAGTGAGAAAACAGTAGGAAGAAAAGAAGGGAAAAAAATGCAACTGGAGGACGGTGGAGGATGGAGAGAGTCTGAATTACTGTTAGACCATAAGAAGTGTTCTTTCTGTTGACTGCAAATACTATCCGGCTACCTGGAGACCAGCTTATTCTCTTTCACTTAGCTCCTACTGATGTATTATTTTCATCTCAAAGAACAAGCTACCAATGCCCTTAAAACACTGTAATGCATAAAATAAAATTACAGCCTCAGGCTGTGTTCTATTGTTCAGAGGCATTTCGCCAGCTTTGTAAATTCAAAATAATTTTTCACAACTATGACAAGTGTGAAGCTTCCCCTGTAAACCGTAGTGGGGGACAGACTCTGATGAACATAATCTTAATCATAATCGTTAGAAGGGAAGGAAGAGTGGCAGTGTTGCATCTGTATTAAAAGCTAGTATCATTCTCCTAGTGGTGAGAAGAAAGAAAGAAAAGAAAGAGAGAGAGAGAGAGGGATGGAGGGAGGAAGGGAGGAAGGGAAAGAAAAGCTTAGGATCTGGAGAGTTAAGCTGGGACCCCAGATCTGCTACTTACTAGCCATGCAGCCTTGGACAATTCCTTGTCTTCTTTGAGCCTCACTTCTTGTGTAAAGTAACCTGATATTTCATTGTGCTTGTACTTTTCATTCTATTTTTGGTGCAAGCTTGTTTTTTTCTCAAATGGTTATTGTGTAAATGCTATAACTGTATCATTCAGATCAAAACACATCTTTATTTTTCATCTCCTGTTGCTGCATGACATTCTACGTAGTGGAGTTATGTTTCCCTGCTCTTGCATAGAAAGTTAGGAAATTTCATGGCTTTTCACCCCAGTCTTAAGTAATTGACAGTCCTTGGATCATGTTAAAAACGCAAACAGCCTCAATTCAGAAATTCGAATGTCAGCTCTAACCAAGATGTTATTCAAATATATCAATCGTTGTTGTTAAAAGAAAAAGGTTGGATGAGGTAAACTTAACAGAGTTTAATTGAGCAAAGAACAATTTGTGTATCAGGCAGCCCTCAGAACCACAAGAGGTTCAGAGAGCTCTGCTCAGCAAGGTGGGCAGGTGGCATTTATGGACAGAAAATGAAAGTGAGGGACAGAAGCAGCTTGATTAGTTACAGCTCAGAGTTTGCCTAACTTGGGCATGGTCTGATGAGTTGGCCACCTGTGACTGGTTGAGACTCATCTAGTTGTTAACAACAAAAAATACTCCTAAATTAGGTTGCAGTTTGTTATGTAGGGATTCAAGTTATGGAGGCATCCTCATGCCAAATTGAGTTTAATTTAACATTATTTATAGGAAAACAACTGCCCTGACTCTTCCATCCTCACTCCTGACTCTTCTTAGTCTTTTTCTTGAGTTTTAACTTCTTAGAGTTGTGTGAGACCCCTTCTTGGGGACTTCTCTGGGATAGGACAGATACTTCTTGATCTAGTTCGCTCCTGGTAATGCCATCCTTTACCCTTGGGAATCTTGCTTCTGCCACCAGGGTCTTGTTGCTGAGATCTCTAACGTGAAGTATTTCTTCTTTTCATTTTAATTGCTATCTAGCCAACCGAAGACCAGCCACAAGCAGGTTTAACTTTCCCAGGGATAAACCAGACACCAGACTTGTGCCTCTAAACCTGAGGAAACATCCAACTCTCTCATCGTCTCCTAGAAGTCTTCCCTGCTAGGTTGAGGTGAAGGGATTAGCACCCCAAAACTACCTCCCCTTTGGGAGGGTAGGGACTTACAGAACCACAACAACTTATTCCCAAGAAATATCTTCACAGAGCTTCACTCGGCTTTTTATAGACTCCCTGAGTAAGGGGGTGCAGAGTCATGAAACCAGTTTTTAAAAATTGTAAATTCTACATTGAGTGATCCAGCTGACCCTCATCCCATTACCTGTTTCTATTATGTCAGCACTTCAGTCAAATCCAACATAGGAAGATGGACGTATCAATATATCTGATGGTGAATTTTAACTTCATAATTTTACTCCACAACACTTCCTAATTTATTTTTTATATTTCCTTAATTTATTTTCCCCTTAAGAAAGAGGTTCATTTGCATAACATATCTTTTATAGTTTCTCTCTTTCTGTTGACTAACTTTGGTACTTTCTCCTCTTTTAATACATCATATTTTTCTTTATTTAGCACTGTCCACTTAACGTTCTTCATTATTTTCAACATGACAGCTTCTCTACCCTTGCCTTGTGAGAAT